TTGAATATAATACCAAAATCAACAAAATTATAGTCTAAATTCATCTACAAACTGTAAATTAAACGTTGGAAAAACCACGTGTCAATCCGACTTAAAACGAATGAGTTATGGTTGTTTAAAAATTTTCACAGATTACAATTTTTTTTTAAATCGGGTCCAACCGGTTCTAAACCCGGTAAAAACCGGACCGGAACGGGAAAAAAAACGGACCGGTTTTGATGGATTCCTAGAACCGAGAACCGGCCCGGGGGTCCAAAAAAACGGTCCGGTCCAATCCGGTTCGGTCCGGTTCATCGTTCGGTCCGGTCCACCAGTCCAAATGCTCACCCCTACATATAAGTGGTTTAACGTTTTAGGGTACCTCCATCAATATAGGTTCCATGATCCATGATGCAGTTTTTTTTTTTAACATCAAACATTTCATTAAAGAAAAAATAAAAGTTTAAGCAAGGCGTTCAAGACAAAGTACATGAAAAACAAGATAAAGAAGAATTACACCGCATATGCCAATTAAGAGCATTAAATTTAGATCTATTCTTAATCCAATTAAACGTAAACATGTTAATATCATCAGCAATCGCTATTGTAGATCGCTTCTCATTCCTGAAAATACTTGCGTTTCTAGCTTTCCATATCATCCAAATGGTGGAATAGATTAAAGACAACTTCAAATTTTGAATTTTTTTTTCTCACTGTTAACCTGATTAAGCATCCTTTCCAAATCAAGAGATGAAAAGGGTTGTTCCGGAAGAATTCCAGACCACTCCACAAGCCACTTCCACTGAAACATCCCAAAAATACAACCCAAATTTTTTTTTTATTTAACATTATTAAAACCATCATTTCATTACTAAGGTATAAAAATCATAAACAGTGTTTAAAAATCTCATAAGATCCATCACATGTCAAATCTCATGTCAAATATCATATCAAAATATCAGAGTAAAACTCCCAGGATGAAGACTGTGGTGTGTGCCATGCGATCATCCCGAGCCCTTCCCTTTACTAGTGGAAGTACCTGAAACCAAAACTGAAAACTGTAAGCACAAAGCTTAGTGAGCTCCCCAAACTACCACATACCATACACATATAACATGCAATTAGGAGATACGGGCCCCACCCACACTCATGGAGATACGGGCCCCGCCCACATTCTGCTAACTAGGAGATACGGGCCCCGCCCACACTCCACTATCTTTGAGATACAGGCCCCGCCCACACTCTCCTGCTATGAGTTACGGGCCCCGCCCACACTCAGCTACTACTCTATCATACCAGTATCACACAGAAACAAGTATACTAAATTTATCATTCAATCCTGAGTCACATTGCAACTAAACTACTAGGAGATACGGGCCCCGCCCACACTCAACTAACTAAGAGATACGGGCCCCACCCACACTCAACTAATAATAAACTCATACTGCGGGCCGGCCTTGGTGCCTTAGACCCGTTCCTACTGAAGGGATACTCACCTCGTGTGTCTGGCTGCTAAAACCCTGAGTGAGAATTATATGGCTGCTGCTCCCGCGACTCTCCGGCTATAATTCCCACAATGACACATAGTCAGAAACTGATAACTAAACTCAGGGTGAAATGACCATTTCACCCTTGGTCAACAATAATATTTTGGTCAAGTCACATTTCCAGTTGACCGGACTCGCCGAGTTGGCTCGACAACTCGCCGAGTCCCAACACTCTCATCTACCCCCAACCCGACCCTACTCGTCGAGTCTAGCAAGAACTCGACGAGTTCTCCATAAATCATAACATCATGACAATCTTCATCTGACTCGCCGAGTTCTTCCTGAACTCGTCGAGTTTATGTTTATCTTAAGAACGTGTCTAGTCTGTGACTCGCCGAGTTGTATGAACAACTCGTCGAGTCCGTCTTCATGAGTTGGGAGATGGCCTTGGACTCGTCGAGTACGTTCCTACACTCGTCGAGTCCCATGGTTTCCAGATCCATGGCTATGTCTATTATACTGAGTCCTTTCCCTGGACTCATCCAAATCCCTTCTGAACTAAAATGGGTTCCTCTGATTCATAACAGTTTTGGCACCAACTCACGACTCACCGAGTCCCAAGAACGACTCGTCGAGTCCATGCATGTCCAAGTCTAATAATTCGATTTCTGATGTGCAAAACTCCTCCAGAAGGTAGATCTAGTCTCCTAAGATCGGTATAGCACGTAAAGCCACGAACTTTGTTGGGAAATCGAATTAGGGTTATAGAAAATATGGATCACAAACAGGAATCGTGTAAACACTTTCCTTGTTTGATATTTCGACCCTAAATGCCTTGGGTGTCACGAAATCCAAACTGGGATAATTCCTGAAGTAACAATTCTGATTTTAGGCACAAAATCAGAATCAATTTTGAAAAGAAGATGAAGTAGGAAGCGTTTTTGTGTTTCTGTGTTTCAAAGAAGTCGTCCTTTTCCCGTACTTATCCACTCAACGGATAAACGAGAACAGTTTACATCTTTCAGAAAAGACAGATTAGTCCACTCAAGCAGGACCCCCGACTTGACACAGTAGATTAGGGTTCGGTACTAACAATGTTTAGTAAATACAAGTGTGCACTCCCACACCTCCTAACTTGTATTATAACTAAAACATTATTCTTGAAACACTTGTTAAATCCATTACACTAAAATATATTTGGTGATCAAATCACCAACAAACTTTACGTTCATGCATGGGACTTTTATGCTCAAAGGACCAAAAATGGGGGTTTATTTCATTCTTGGGGTTCTCATGGCCATAAAGATGGCACCTTTATGACATGAGGACCCTCCAAGGTTCCAGATATGAGTGTACATCGACTTGGGACGTCCAAGTCCCAAGGATCAAGCTTCTTGGACCCAAAACTTCATAAAAATGGCAAAAATAAGATCTAAGAAACTATAAGTCAAGTATGAAGCTTGATTACCAGAAAGTGAAGAGAAACTGATGTTGTTCTTGGATCTACTCTTTCTCCCTTGAATCTTCTACCTTCCAACTCTTTCACTAGCTTCAAAATACACCAAACAACTCTCAAAACCACCAAAGAAGCTCAAGACCACTTATGGAGGATTAGTGTTTCGGGATAAATGTTCTGGAGGTGATGGAGGCTGGACAAGAGGCCCATAATGTTGCTTAAATAGGATGCAAACCCTAAATATTAGGGTTTGCCCAGACTGGCCTACTCGTCGAGTCAAGGCGCAGACTCGCCGAGTAGATCACTTAAACTCGCGTCCCATCCTGGTATCTACTCGACGAGTTAGGGCTACAACTCGTCGAGTAGCTCTTTGTAAAATGACATTTAATGAATTAAATATGTACCAGAAACGGGGCGTTACATCTACAACAATGACGCATAGCCATAGGAAAAGAAAACGTAATCCAACCCTTCATCAAAAACATGACAAAAGGTGCATAAGTTGGACGATACCGTTATACCACGCCTCATCAGGTTAGGAACTAAAGGAATCCTATTTTTTATCATTCTCCGGACAAGACAATTGATATTCAGTGGGATCCAACCAACCCATTTGAAAGAAGTTGCAATATTTGCAACATGATTCTCCATTGATATTCAGTAGGATCCAACCAACCCTTCATTGAGAAATCTCCCTTGCTATCAACACTCCAAGTCCACCTGTCATTATAAAAATGAAACTGAAAATTATTCAACATGTCAGCGGGATCCAACCAACCCTTCATTGAGAAATCTCCCTTGCTATCAACACTCCAAGTCCACCTGTCATTATAAAAATGAAGCTGAAAATTATTCAACATGTCAGTCAAGTCTGATAATTGCCTCATTTCACGCCTTCTCCTTGTTTGTCTAGACCATTTCCAATAGAAATGCTTCTCTATTCCAGCCCCCACACCCACTCTATCACTAATTAAGCAATCTTTAAATGTTTCAATTGCATAAAGATTTGGAAAATTCTCCTTAAGCTTTAAGTCGCCACACCAAACATCCTTCCAAAAGTGAGTTTTATCCCCTTTACCTATTACTCTTTGAAAAGAGTATTCAACTCAATTCCTTTGTCACAAAATTCCTTTATCTAAATTTGAGATATCAAGTCAAACACATTTTAAAGACTTTTTAGCCAAGGGTTGCCATCTATAAGCTTAATATTGTATTATGAATGGCTTTGACACAAGAGCACCAAAAATCGTCATACCCAACTTTAACCTCCACCACCACTTTGCAAGAGGCGCCAAGTTTGCCGAGTCAAGGCAACTCACTCCTAGACCCCCATTCTCTTTTGATTTCGTAACAACAACCCAAGAAACCCAATAGATTTTTTTATTAGCTTCATCTCCACCCCATAGAAACCTCTTTCTCAAACCATCTAGAATATTAATCACTTTCTTTGGGGTTCTAAAAAGAGAAAAGTAGTAAAGCGGAAGACTACTAAGCACCAAGTTAACAAGAGTGAGACCAAAAGAGAGGCTTTTAGCCTTCTAATTTTATAATTTCCTCTTTACTTTCTCAATCACCGGATTCCAATCCTTTGCTAGCTTCATATCGACACCAACCGGATTCCATGATGCAGGTAACTCACAATAGTTAACAACACTAAAATAAACATATTTGATTTTTTTCATATATTTTGCAATGTTGAATGAATATATAAAACTCAAGAAGAGTAAAAAAATATTTCTTAAAAATATTTAAATAAATCAAAAAAATGAAGTGCAACAAAAATATAGAAGTAAGGTAACCTTTTGTTAGAAAGAATAGATCTTCCATTCTTCCCACACATTATTTTTTCGCATAAAAAGTGTCATTTGATAAAAACACTCAGAAAATTTAGTTATATTGATATATGGTTCTCAAAACTCAAAAGTTCTTCATAATTGACATGCTATAACATGACTTTTATATATATATATATATATATATATATATATATATATATATATATATATATATATATATATATATATATATATATATATATATATATATATATATATTGCCAATTTGCCATCACGCTGCCTCATGTTATTTAGAAGATTGTCTAAACTGTAATACATATAAAGGCAATTACATAAAAGGTAGCTTTTTTTTTAATTATTACAAATAAGAAGAAAAGTAGCATGATTTTATAAACAAAAGAACAACATGGATAAGATAATTAATTAGTTTAATTTGCCTTTTCTTCAGCTGCATACAATGCCTTGATTTCTTCCACGTCATCATAGCTTCCCAAGAATATCGGAGACCTTTCATGTATCTTCTTTGGTACCAAGTCAAGTGCCTGACAAATCATTATATTAGGAAAAAAAAAATATCCCTTTTTGTAAGACTTTTCACCAAAAAAAAAAACTATTTTTTTTGAGTTTTTCCACAAATAAAAACCAATTTTGAAGACCCACGTGAAATTATCATTAGTTAAGAAATTTGCTTTTTATATGGTTTCCATATAAAAAAACTAGAACGGAATTATATAATTCAAAATTTCTCGTTCATATAATTCGAAATTGTTCATATGATTACGAAAACCTTTATTTATATCAATTTTTAAGAAGTTTTGTTGTGGGGATTTCAAAAACCATACTCACAGCAAAAAAGATAATGATTTTCAACAAAAAAAAAATATAGTGTAAAATTGAGAAAAAAAAATCTAAAAGAAATGCCTTAAATATGGGGGAAGAATTTCGCATAAATATTGATTTCGCAGTGTTCTAGGCGTAATTGATGGTTATTCTGTCCAAAATGGGAATTTTTTGTGTTATTTAGTGAAAAGTCTTCCACAAATATGGTTATATTTGTTTTTTTCTTATTTGAATAATATCTAATATGCTATTTATTATATTAATTATTAATATAACTAGAAAGGTTACCTCCGCTACGCGGAGGCCAGAAGCTTTCAATGTTATTTCTGAATTGATAAATATGACAGACATAGAAAGTGCAAGGATGAAAAGTCCGGGCTTTGCCCCGGACAAAAAATGTAAAAGTTTTGACTGCAAGGACCAAAAGTGTGAAAATGGCTAAAGAATTAAAGGGGTAGGAATTAACAACTTTTTAGAAAAGGGATCAAAGTTGTCAAACCGTTAAAGTTTTGTGGCCAAACTTTAAATATTAAAAGGTTCCAAAAAAGTGTAAAAATATTGATTGCAAGGACCAAAAATGTCAAAATGGGTAAAGAAAATGGGAAGTTGAATGGAACACAAACAAAAGGACATGAATAAATTAATTAAAGAAGTACAGGGACCGGATATGTAAATCAAGGGGCCAAAGCTGGACAAAGTATGCCAACTTTACTATTCCTTTCTTCCACAACTTTAATATATATATAATAATGTTTAAAGGTGCAATTAAATTAATTACCCGCTCCTTTCCGGTAAATGACTGTCCACCTGCTTGTTCCATCAAGAACGACATTGGGAACACTTCATAGAGAACCCTGTTTTTTCAAACATTGAAAACAAAATAATTTATTGTGAAGTAATTTTAAAAAAAAAGTAAAATAAAATAAAATAATCATTAAAATGTTTGACCTTAATTTCCCATTAGGGCTCTTCTTATCAGCAGGGTACAAAAAGACACCCCCATAAAGTAAGGTCCGATGAACATCCGCAACCATACTGAATAAAAAATCAAGACATGTCAGCTTTATATTGTGTTTGACATATATAATAGTATGTGTAAAAAGACGAAAATGCCCTTCTTCTGAATAAAAAATCAAGACATGTCAGCTTTATATTGTGTTTGACATATATAATAGTATGTGTAAAAAGACGAAAATGCCCTTCTTAGGCTTAAAGCATTTAAATACCTTCCCATATATTTTAAAGATTTTTTGCATTGGGATGAGTGAAAAAATGGGACATTGATTTTTTTTTTATCTATTTAAAAGACGAAAATGCCCTCGTTATGTGAATACCTTCCGATATATCTTAAGGATTTTGCGGATGAACCATCTGTGGGGTACTTGCATTTTTCCACAAATCTGAAACTCAAAAAATGTTTAAAAAAAATGTGATAAAAATAAAAATGGGGTAGAAAATAATATTTTTACTTCGCAGTGGGACCATCCCAGTTCTTGGCATTTCCTTCATTGACCGAATAAATCTTTCCTTTCTTTGGAATCTGTGCACAAAGGAATTTGACACAAAAAGAATTACAAAAAACCGATTATTGAGATAAATGTAAAATTACCAAACTACCCCTAATTGTATTCAACTAATTATGAGATTATCTGATTTTGCTTCTTGAAGTAATTGAAAAATGTCATTTCCTTCCAGCCCATTAGGCAATTACTCTGGATTGGACTGGACAAAATTTCTAGGGCTGTATTTGATAAGGTTGAGAATGACATTTATGTCTTTTGCATACACAAAAAATTTTTGGCACAAAAAGTTATAGTTTTTGTCTTATTGACATCAGTTTCAATCCAAAGCACATTCTTATCCCACTTTTTGGGGACAAAAAGTTGCAGTTTTTGTCTCATTGACATCAGTCTCAATCCAATAATACAACATGTTCTGTTGTGGGCTTATAGAAAAATGATAATTTAAAAGAATATTCACATAGGTTATACAAAATCATGATTTATAAAAACAAGAAAGGTCATATAAAAAAGCTTACCTTAATGTCTGCATGGGTGAGTATAAACTCCCCTAGAGATGGATCAAGAGTAAATCCATTGACACCTGATCCAGTGCTTAACACAAGCTGAAAATGCATGTATATATTTAGACAACAAAATATTTGTTGAATTTGAAAAAATAAAAAGTCAACATGAATTAGACCAAGTTTATTCCACAAAAATAATAATTTTGGTTTTAATTTATTACTCTCACCGTGCAAGAGCTACCATACATGCAGTATCCAGCAGCTACCATATTCTTTCCAGGCTGCAATACATCTTCTAAAGTTGCCTCATCACCATCTTTTATCATGTAAATCCCAAAAATCTAGAAAGGAATTTAACTTATCATGCTGCAAAATCAAGCTATCTTGAAGAAATTTCAATACATATGTAAAGCAAATTCAAAAAAAACTATAAGTAGTTTTGATGATGTAGCTTACAGTTCCTATGGAAACACCACAGTCAATGTTGGAAGATCCATCCAGGGGATCGAAAACAACACAATACCTGAATCACTTGCATATAATTTCTTGAATTATATAAACTTATAGAGTAACAAATGAGATTATGATTGAAAGATTAAAAGATTAAGAGAATTTGAATTTGGATTTGAGTTTGTCCTCACCTTCCCCGTTTAGATGGTTCCACAATTATTGCATCTTCATCTTCTTCAGAAACAAGTATGCACTGAAGAAGAGTGATTCCATTAGGTTAAATAGTAACACGACAGATTTGAATTTGAATGTTTACAAATACTCACTGTTCTACCACTGCTGACCAAAGCTTTCACAAAAACTTCATTTGACAGAACATCCAGTTTCTTCTGCTCTTCTCCCTGAAATTAATCAAAACAAACAGATAAAGTTGTAGAACACAAGCAAAGAAGTTTGCATCTGTTAATGGTGAAAGATGAGGTGTGTTCTTCTGTTAACTTGCCTGTACATTCGTCTCCCCAGCAAGTCCAATGAGTTTTGCCAAACCTGCCTGCATATCCAAATTTTATACCATAAGAACAGTTTGCTTAACTTGTTTTAACGGCATTTGTTTAGCAGTTACTGTTAATTTCTGACAAAATTAGCAGATAAATTTTGGAATCCCCAAACTTATTGTTTCATCATAGCAAGTTTAACTAGGGTTTATTCACTAATCATCAGAAGAATACATAATCATAGTCAATTAATCATATAATTTTGCGATACGAAGAGAAATATGATGATCAGAAGAAGGTCAACTGCTTGTAAAAACTGATTAAACAGGGGAAAATAAGATGACCTTGTTAACAGCGGAGCAGACAAACTTGCAACCTAGAACAATGTGACTGAGCAGGATACTGAAATCACCGCGTGATTCCGGATGCTTCGACTGTTCATTCAGCACAAACCGAGTTATGGTCATCAAATCCGTCCGGAAGGCATCGGCGGCATGATCCATCTTTCTCCGGCGATAGAGTTGATCTCTGAGAACTCTATGTACTTTTTTTCTTCAATCTGTATCGAAATCAGACAAGATTGAATTTCATCGGTTGACAAAATCACGCAATTCAAGGAGAGAGTGGAAGATAATAGCGTTCTTATATGTGCACGGGAATCGAAGATGAGGTTATCTGAGGCCAGTGGAAGTTCAGATGACACGTGGCGGAGAACGGCGTGACGGTGACGCTAGCGGTTGTCAGGAGGATAACTGTAAAGAGGGCTGGTGGTTGCTTCTTCTTCGGCTATGGAAGGTAGCGGGAGTTCCAGACAAATACTATATTTGGACTTTTTGGCAAGTACAATCATACTATTTTCATTATGGTCCTTTCAACATTTTCATTTTAGTCCTTTTACTTTACAAATATTACACCATAGTTCTTGAAAACATTCCATATATAGTATAACTACATAATTCCATCGTAATCGAAACTACATAATTCCATCGTAATCGTTTGAAAAAGAAACTCAAAAGATTAAAGAAAACAAAATGTCATTATTGCAAATATGCTCAAAATGATTAAGCTGATGTATATTAATTGCATATACCTAACATGTCAAGTTCAGGTATACATCTACAATTTGATATTTATTGATCGACAGAAATTGCACAGTTCAACGACATCCATAGGGACCTCCTCTATGATGATCCTGGCAACCAATCACCCGAGCATAGCCTCGTTTAATTTACCATATACTTCGGGTTTGAGAAGGAGTGAGCAAACAACGATCTGGAGACGACACCCATGGAAACTTATAAGAGTCATAAGAAATTCGACATTTGAGGGTGTTATTAAGCTACAATGACAATGGAAGAGGATAAGAAAAGCACGGAACCTTGGATTCTAGGATAGAAACGAGAATGTTCTATACTTATGCTCGAAAGAAAGTATGATTATTCAAAATTTTGGGTTGGCGTTGAAAGAGGAGTGTTAGATGCCCTCTCTGACCGCAAGTGTTGAACATAAAGAAAAATATAGTCTTCTGTTTTTGGTGTCGGATGTAGCATCTCGGGTTGGGGCGGCCGCAACTCCATCAACCGTGTCATTTACGCCTAGTTTCCAAGTTTTAGCAAAGAAAAAAAAAGTTAAGGAGAGAAAATAAGAGAAGGGAAAAGAAAATAAATTGGTCTTTTTGTATTTCCAAATTAGAGAGAAGTGAAAAGAAAATTAAAAATTTTGTTTTTCCTCTCCAAATCCTTCCGAATCGGAAGGAAACTTAGGAGGAAAAGTGTTCCCATTTCCTTCCACTATTTTCCTTTTAATGAAACTCGAGAATATCATTTTTTTTTTAACTTTATTCTCATTTTTATCAATTTCTTTTCTTTTCTTTCGTTAAGTTGAACTCGAGAACAAAGGGTGTTAAGATTATTTATCCGAAGGTTACGAAAGTTTGCATCTTTAAGGGATGCAATGGGATTTGAAGTTTGGGTTGTCCTAGATGGCATCATGGACCATTGCAGGACAACATAAAATACATTTATGCATTTTATCTGACTCTTTCGACTATCTTATTTGAATTGGAAATTTTTTATTTGTACCAACTCTGGTTGGACGTTCAAAATATCAAAATAAAAATATCACAAAAAGATCGCATTATATTAAGATGATGAAATAGTCCATATTTAATCCAAGATTGCTAAATTAACATAAAATCCATCACCTTAAAGGCTTAAACCAATCATTGATGTGGAATAACTTATTTGTTAGAACGTCGGATATAATATTAAGAAAAACAACTTTAGCAAGGCGCTAAAAGAACAATTACAAAAATCACTGTATCATAATTTATCATAGGACTAGACCAATCTAACGAAATTATCTCAGATCTGTAGACCACATACTTGGAACTCAAATGATAATAACTATGCATTTAGTTTTAAGAAAAATTCTAAATTTTACCCGTTTTTAAAGCTGATGACAGGGCCGGTCCTAAGGAATTAAATATTCTCAAAGGTCCATGACGAATCAAAAAAGATGGTCGTGTGCAGTGCAGCTGTCCACTTTGCCCCCCCCCCCCCCCCTCAACGCCCACATGCTTGATGATTTTGCATATTGTTGATTTCAGTTTTGGTTACCGAGAAAATTTCATAAGGTTGAATTTAGGCGGTCTCAAATTAGTAAAACACATTTTATAATTTGAGAAATCAAATACCCATTTTTTCTACTATCTAGTTTCATATTTAATAGATCAACACAAATGTTACAATCAAGAGATGAGATTAAGAAAAAAAATTATGTGACCCTTGCTTTCACATTTTAACTCAGGTTTATCGTAAATGTTTAGTTATTAATATTTTTAATCTAGATAATACAAAGAGGGATATCATTGAATTATATTTAAGAGATATTAAGGAACCAAGTTTATTTGAGAAAGATTTAGTTAGAAGACTATACGATACACGTCTAAAAGGTGAAGCGTTAAATTCCAATCCGGGTGTATTTGGTTCCGACAAGTTCTGACTGGATGTGAACGGTCACAACGAGTTAGAGGCATTGTTGAACGGTTGCGACTGCGACTGGATGCGAATGATCGTAAGTCGTCACAGTCGCAAGGGATTGGTCCGGTTGGTTGCGAATATCGGAAGGCGTGGCGATGCGAATCTCGGAGCGTATTGTGATGCGATTCTCGGAATACTATCGGATGCGAACAACCTTGTCAGACAGAAAACTCTTATGCATCCGATTACGAACAAAGCACACTTACTGTTGGGTACGAAAGTCATTTGTTGGGATCGATAACACGTGTGGTTTGCATGATAACTTATGTGGGTTAAGGACGGGAGTTTCCATTTACTGGGTGCACCTTTTTCGCCGTCATTTTAGCTTCCAATAAACCTCTAGAAGCAGTTTATTCTAGTAGTCAGTTACTGTCAGTGGGTAGTTTATTTTCTTTGTAACCGTTGTTTGCGTCAGGCTATAAATAATCATTTTAGTTGTCTTTGTAATCAGCTATTTACATAATTTAATCCAATAACTTTTGTTCATCGAGTTGTTGTTGCACTCAAACTTTGTCAATTGAAGGAGGCTTTCCTGATTTTTTGACAGAATTCAAACCAATAGGTCTTGGTTTGTCTTCATCGATATTCAATCTATAGGTCTAGATTGTCTATCAATTTTATCCTTTAATTATTGTTTTCGCTGCAATCACAGAAAACCCAAAACAATCCCTTCGTACACACATCATAAGTGCTATCAAAGCTCAGTTCAGATGGATTGGGAAGACCCTGATTTTCTGTGTAACCTCCGTGAAGCGCTCAGAAACATTTCTAACAACCCAAATCGAAGGCTTCCCATGTGTGAATTGCACCAGGTAGAAGACATCAAGATTACTGAATTGCCTGAGTTCGTGGGTGGAACCGATCCAGAGAGATATTTGGATTGGGAAAGGAAAATCAACAGAATGTTCGAATTCAAGGAGTTATATGATGAGAAGTGTTGCAAATATGCAATTCTGAAGTTGAGTGGTAGAGCTTCACCCTGGTTTGAAGGACTGAAGGCCAAGAAAACTTGTGAAGGAAAAGAGAAGATCTCTTTTTGGGAGTCCTTGAAGCGTAAACTACGGAAGAGGTATGTTCCACCTAACTATAGGATCATCACCTATATAAGGATTGATGAATTGAAGCAAGGAAAGATGAGCATGGGAGAATACATCGACAAGTTTGATAAATTGTCGTTGTTGGGCGATAGAGGAGATAGAAGAACAGAAGATGGCACGATTTCTATGTAGCCTAAATTACAACATCTCCAATACGGTAGAACTTTATCCTTACTCTGATTTTGAAACACTGTGTAGTCTTTATTTGAAGTTGGAAGTCCAAGCAAAGACAAGGTTTGGAGAGAACTCTAGTGGGGAATCTGCCAAACCCAAGCCTTGGGTTAAGTCCAAAACCAGCATGAAGACGATCGCAACAACTGCTCCCACTGTCGCAAGTGGTTCCACTGTGACCCCAAATGTGTCCAGTACAAACAAGGAAACCAATTTGTCTAAGGTTCGTTGTTTCAAATGTCAAGGGTTTGGCCATTATCAAAATGCTTGTCCAAACAGGAGGGTTATGACATTAAGGGAAGCTATTGACATCCGGGATTAGTTATTGGAGAAAGAAGAGAGTTTGGGGGATACGTTCGTGACTGGATAAGTTTGTGAAGGTGAGGAGGAAGAGGATACATATGAACCACCGACCTATGACACCGCTTTAGTGCTTCGCACCTTGCAAACCCAAGTCGTACAAGTTGATCCCGATCAACGCGAGCATATATTCCATACGAAGTGTCTTGTGGGAAATAAAGGGTGTAGTGTACTAATCGATGGGGGGGAAGTTGTACCAATGTGGCGTCTAGTGAAATGGTGTTGAAATTGGGTTTGTCAACAACAACCCATCCAAAACTGTATGCCTTGCATTGGCTTGATGAAGATAAGAAGGTGAAGGTGTTTAAACAAGTCAAGGTGTGATTGAAAATAGGATCCTATGAAGACGAAGTTCTTTGTGATGTAGTTCCAATGGATGCATGTCACATTCTGCTGGGACGAACATGGCAGTACGACAGGGATGTAACGCATTGGGGGAGAAGGAACGAGTACAAACTGAGACATAATTGGAAGAAGATCACGTTGAAACCGATGACTACGACTGAGGTGAGGTCCATACGAAACCAACAGGTGAAGAAGCCAAGTCTCATGATAATGGATATTGAGAAAGAAGTGGAACAGGTGTTGGACCAAAGGGAAATAGTATACATGCTTGTTGTGAAAGACGATGCGAAAGTGGAACAAGGTTAGCAACAGGAGGGTCCAATCGCAAATTTGCTTGGGGAATTCCGAGATGTGTTTCCAATTGAATTGCTACCAGGCTTACCTCCAATCTGTAGTATTGAACACCAGGTCGATCTTATCCCAGAAGCTGATGGGTTTTATGTACTCTAACATCCCTATGGTGCACATACAACCCTAATGCTTTGGATCTAAATTTTCTCTAATTATACATGCAACATTTTTTTTCCAAAGCATGAAGCCTAAACTAGCATACAAGTTGACTTATGAATCATAAAACTTAGTTAGAAGATTACCTCTTGTTGTAGCTTGTTTGTATTTGGCCTTTAAGAGCTTAGCACCCAAGCGTGATGCCTCAAATGTTTCACAACACACCAAGAACAAAGGAGGCTTGTAAGAGAGAAGCTAGGAAGCACAAAATCGGCTAGTACTCTTCTTTAGAATGCATGGGGCCGATTTTAGGGAGTTAGGGGTTACTTTTATAGCCTAGGGTTTCATCC